GAAATACAAAAAATAAACCTGGGTCTCTCACAGAATGAAATACTGCATAGAATTCAGTTTCATAGCTCTTTATGTAACAGCCCAGAAGAATGTGTAAAATTAGAAACATTGAAGCCAGGTATGGTGGCACTTGCCTACAATCACAATATTTGGGGGCTGAGACAGGAGGATCACAACTTCAACTCCAGCTGAGGCTACTGAACAAACTCTGGTGGCTGTGTGGGTGGAAGGAAAGAAGGAAGGAAACTCCTGCTTGTTTCCACTATAATTGCATACTCTACCACATTTTGTGCTGTCTGCAGTACAACAGATTTTAAGAGTTAAAAATGGGAAAAGAGAATACACTCAGAAAAGGGAGATGAATTCATCATAAACACTTCATACTGTGGAATTTACCTGGGAGCTTTGTATGATGTAATCTCCTGAACCAAGGAGCTTCAAGAGGCTCACTGGAGGTTTGCCACCCCACTTTGTCCTTAACTTTTCCTAAATTATTTAAAGTTAGCCAGGCACCAGTGGCTCATGCCTATAACCCTAGCTACTCAGGAGGCTGAGATCTGAGTATCACAGTTCAAAGCCAGCCCCGGCAGGAAGTCCATGAGACTCTTATCTCTAACTACCAGAAAACCGGAAGTAACCACCAAAAAACTGGAAGTGGCACTTCAGCCTTGAGCTGAAGAGTTGAGGGACAGCACCCAGGCTCAGAGTTCAAGACTCATGACTGACAGAAAAAAAAAATTAATGTTGTGGCATGTAACACACACACACACACACACACACACACTCTTTTTGATTTTGCTTTGACCAGTTCTGGGGCTTGAACTCAAGGCCTGGGTGCTGTCCCTGAGCTTCTTCTACTCAAGGCTAGTGCTCTACTCCTTGAGCCACAGTGCCACTTCCAGCCTTTTCTGTTTATGGGGTTCTGAGGAATCAAATCCAGGGCTTCATGCATGCTAGGCAAGCACTCTACTGCTAAGCCACATTCCCAGCCCTGGGGTTCAATACTTAATAAAGGCAAACTATTGTCAGAATAAAGCACCAACCCAAAGGTCTATCAGGAGAAACCCAATCAATTAACATTTGCTAGTAATTTACAATGTTTATTTTATTAAAGAAAATTAAGCCAGATGCCAGAGGCACACACCTATAATCCTAGCTACTCAGGAGGCTGCGGTCTGAGGATCAGTTTGAAGCCAGCCCAAGCAGAAAAATCCCCATGAGAGTCTTATCTCCAATTAAAACTCAAAAGCTGGAAGCTATGCTGTGGCTCAAGTGGTAGAGCTCTAGCCTTGAACACAAAGAGGTTCAGGACAGTGCCCAGGCCCAGAGTTCAAGCCCCACAACCATCAAAAAACAAAGGAAGGAAGAAAAGGAAGGAAGGAAGGAAGGAAGGAGGGAAGGAGGGAGGGAGGGAGGGAAGGAAGGAAGGAAGGAAAGAAGGAAGGAAGGAAGGAAGGAAGGAAGGAAGGGAAAAAAAGAAGGAAGGAGGGAAGGAAGAAGGTAAAGAAGGAAGGAGGGAAGGAAGGGAGGAGGGAAGGAAGGGAGGGAGGGAGGGAGGAAGGAAGGAAGGAAGGAAGGGAAAAAAGAAGGAAGGAGGGAAGGAAGAAGGTAAAGAAGGAAGGAGGGAAGGAAGGGAGGAAGGGAGGGAGGAAGGAAGGAAGGAAGGGAGGAAGGAGGGAAGGAAGGGAGAAAAGAAGGAAGGAGGGTAGGAGGAAAGGAGGGAAGAAAGGAAGGAAGGAAGGAGGGAGGGAGGGAGGGAAGGAGCAAGGAAGCAAGGAAAAATTCAGTCATATTCTCTGAACACAAAGGATTCCTTTGTCAGGCAGCTGGTATAACTCAGTTCTTAAGCATCAGTGATTTTACCTACAAAATAAGCCTCAAGAATCACAAGACCTCTTTGAAGATTTTAGAATGAATTATTGTATTTTGTGTATTATTTTGTTTCCTAGAATTGTTTTTTATAACCCCAAGACAGGTATTTGTGCTTTCAAAATTATGCCCCTAACTTCTACACTTTTCAGCGGCAAACCATATTTAAATAGTTTTTCAAAAAAAAAAAAAAAAACCTTGTATAACTATGTTATCTCACTTTTCTTTTTTCTCACTGTTACTTGAAATATGCCAACATCATTATTCACATCATCATTTGGTAAGTAAAAATCTGTAAATTTACCATATGGTACATAGACTAGGCTTATGCTCAGCACTCAGGAGTGGGATACATGGTCAGTATAATGTAATTCACAATTACAAAAGTTGAATGATTAGAGACAACACTGAACTCTGAATAGCATAAGAGACCACATTACTCTTCCCAAGAATAATGAAAGGCATTTTAGGGAATGCAGAGATGAAGTTGGATGTCTGTCTGTGCACACATCATACAGATGGATTATGATGATCTAACTTGTTAGTCAAAAACTCATTTTTTGTCAGGCGCCAATGGCTCACACCAGTAATCCTAGCTACTCAGGAGGCTGAGATCTGAGAATCACAGTTCAAAGTCAGGCCAGGCAGGAAAAGCCTTTTTTTTTGCGGGGGGGAGCGGTTGTGAGCCTGAACTCTGGGCCTGGTTGTTTTCCTCAGCTTTTCAGCTCAAGGCTAACGCTCTATCTACCACTTGAACCACAGCGCCACTTCCGGCTTTTTTTTTTCTGCTTATGTGGCGCTGAAGAATTGAACCCAGGACTGTCACGGTCTCTCCTGCCCGGGCTGGCTTTGAACCGTGATCCTCAGATCTCAGCCTCCTGAGTAGCTAGGATTACAAGCGTGAGCCACCAGCGCCCGGCTATATGCCTTTCTTATACTCCCCTCTTACTATGAAACTTTCCTGTCACTAAAGCCAAACTTCTACTCCTTTACTAATATCCCACCTCTAGTTGTCATCTTGCTGTGGGATTGTATCTTCTTCATTAGAGTTCTCTTTTAAAATTTTGTTTCATCAAAAATCTGGCATGTGAGGTTTTAATTGTTCTGTCACAGTTTTCTCTTCTTCAGTCAATGGTGACAATTCCATGTCTTTATGCCTTTGTAGTCCTTGTATCATGGTTATGGTCTTATTCAAAATAGTACAAATGCAGCTCTTAGTCTCTTTCTGCTCAACGACTGGCTTAAAACATGCATACAAGGTTTGATATCAAGACTTTAAGGCTGTCAATTCCTTAAAAGTATAACTAAGAGTTTTCATGAGTTCCAGCTTATCGACTTCCACCTCCATGTTGAATAGATCCTAATGAAGTAATTTAATGCTCACTTAGGTACACTGTAAATCCTACCATCAAACATTAAGGACTACAAACATCCAACATTATTTCTAGAAAACAAATGAATCTACACAGATGAGATGGTCAGGAAGCATAGCCAAGCATCATTTCCTCATGTCTATAATCTTAGCTTGGATTGGGCAGCTGAGAATGGCAGGATCATAATCTAAGGCCAGCTAGGTTAGAAAAGTGTGCCAAGACTTCTTCCCAACCCATTGTTGGGTACAGTGATGGCACACTTATCATCTTAAGCTACTAAAGAGACTAAGATTGAGAGATAAAAGGCTGGTATTTCCAGGCCAGCCTAGGCAGAAAAATTCTTAAGACTGAATCTTAACATAAGGAAGTTGGATACAGTGATGCATGCCTGTCATCCATGTAAATATAACAACTATATATACAGTCACTGAACAGAGAGAGGTAAGTCACTACTCTACTTAAAGATGCTAAGGATACACTGTTGAGAAGACTTAAAAACAAAACAAAACAAAAAAAAAAACCAGCTGCAGAATAACATGTGCACTTACCACACTGCACATGGGCTTTTTCTGTGTGAACAAAAAAACACCCTGAACTCCACTATGGTAGCACATGTCTACCATCCCAGCACTCAGGAGCTGAGAAAGGAAAATAGCTAGTAATTACCACCTAGCCTGTGCCTCACAGTCAGTCTCTGACTAAAAATATATTTTTTTAAAAATTAGGGAAAGGGGAAAAGAGACAGGGTAGCTCAGGTCTGCCTAAAACTTGCAATCCTCCTTCTTCAATGCTAAGATTACAGACATAATCCACTTAGCTAATGTTTTGGGTTTGTTTGCCCATCCTGGGGCTTGAACTCAGGACCTAGGAACTGTCCCTGAGCCTCTTTGTGCTCAAGGCCAGTGCTCTACCTCTTGAGCCACAGCACTACTTCCTGCTTTTTAAAGTAGTTTATTGGAGGGAGCTAAAAGTCTTATGGGGACTTTTTTGCCTGGGCTGGCTTTAAACCACAATCCTCAAGTCTTAGCCTCCTGAGTAGCTAGGATTACAGGCGTTAGCCACCCCAGCACCCAGCTATTTTGTTTTTTTAATGTAAAAACACTTTACTTTTAAAATCAGGAAATAGATTTTAATGTATGGTCATGAAAATGGAAAGACATCTGAAATCTCACTAGGAAGATCTATTTTTAAAATGCAAAGCCAAATCCCCACTAAAATATAACTATTCATTAAGATTCCACGACCACTGGGGCTAGATGACTTAAAAAACATTAAAGAGGGCTGGGAAGGTGGCTCAGTGGTAGAGCACTTGCCTTGCATGCATGAGGCCCTGGGTTCGATTCCTCAGCACCACATAAGCAGAAAAAAAAAGCCGGAAGTGGTGCTATGGCTCAAGTGGTAGCGCACTAGCCTTGAGCTGAAGAGCTGAGGGACAGCGCCCAGGCCCAGAGTTCAGGCCCCAGGACCAGACCGCCCCCCCCCAAAAAAAGCATTCAAGAATCTCAACAAATGAACATATTACATTAAAGCACAAGTTCAACAATACTGACAATCTTAAAATTATACTAAAAATATAGCCATAAAATTCATACATGTGAAATCAACGGTGAATAATTGTTCATGTAAATTACCTTCTACTTCTACTTGCTGTGTTTCTAAAACTGAAAGGGCTCTTTACTTTAAAACTCTATCCTAAAATTGCTGCTTCTCCATGAGGATAATACTCAATAGCAGTTTTCGCAGGAATGGAACTCATACCTTCTAAGAGCATTTCTGGGATATCTGCTTGATATCTCGGACCCACTCTGATTTCACCTTTGTCAGCTAACAATGTTTTCACTGAAGGGTCATAGACCAATGAGTAGAAAAAGGTATCCTGAAAAAAAAATGACAGAAAAAATCCAGATAAACTTAATTCCTTCTATTTTTCACAAAGCAATAAAATCAATGTCATAATAATGAAACAGAGAGTACTTCAGAGAGTATAAGAAATTACATTTTGGTGAGTAAATTCATAATCTTAAAAAGAACATGGTATTATTGTCATCAAGTACAACAGTGCAAAATTTAATAAAATAAAGAGGGCTGGGAATGTGGCTTAGTGGAAGAGTGCTTGCCTAGCATGCATGAAGCCCTAGCTTTCATTCCTCAGTACCACATAAACAGAAAAAGCCAGAAGTAGTGCTGTGGCTCAAGTGGTAGAGTGCTAGCCTTGAGCAAAAGAAGCTCATGGACACTGCTCAGGCCCTGAGTTCAAGCCCAGGACTGGCAAAAAAAAAAAAATGGGAAGAGAGAGAGAGAGAAAGAAAGAAAGAGAGAGAGAGAGAGAGAGAAATAGCTTTAAGTAGATTATAAAGTTTTATTATTTATTTTAGCCTAAAAGAAAACTACTAATTGTCCTAAAATAGAGTTTTGGAAAGCTAGCAAAATTAAATAGTAACTTAAAGATAAGCCAACTAAAACCAAGTATCTCCTAATGACAAAAGTCCATACCAAATAGCAGAATGTCTACATGGATACCAAACTTACTTTTGAACCATCCATCCACAATTTATTCGAAATATTAAAAGGTACACACACCTCGCATTGACTTAACTGTATGAGAGTTGAACTTACATGGATCCATTACTAGTACTGCAGAAAACTAGTTAGCTGTTTATTAATTATAATTCTGCAGTACTTTTGATCTTGATGTATACATATATAATATATAATATGTAATATATATATATATATAAAGAGAAAGAGATAGTATGTAAATATAACTAAGCATTCCACTAATGTCTCCAGGTACCAGTGAGTGGCTCACTGATATCTATAATCCTAGCTACATAGGAGATTGAGATCTAAGAATCCCAGCTCAAAGCCAGCCCAAACAGGAAAGTCCTTGAGACTTTTATCTCCAATTAACCACCAAAAAATTTGGAAGTGGAGCTGTGGCTCAAATAGTGAGCATTAGCCTTGAGCAAAAAAGCTCGGGAACAGTGCCTAGGCACTGAGTTCAAGCCCCAGGACTGTCACAAAACAATAATAACAACAACAAAAATGCCCTATAGTTCCTGAACCTATAGTTCCTGAACACTAGTCCTTTGCTGAATTCTGCAGAGCCACTGGAATATGAACCAACAAAACTCTATCTTCTGCTTCCCATTTGGATCCAAAGATCATTTAATGCACCTCTGTTTTTTATCCTGAAAGGGCCTGTTCTATATTCACTTATGTTACCAAAACCAGCCAAGGAAGTTGCAAATAAGAGCTGTCATTCAGACTGATTACTAGGGCTCTTACATACTACGATACCGAAAAGTGGGAGAAAAAAAAGGTTACTACATCAATTGAAATATTCTGTGTTTTATTTTAAGCACTGATCACTATTAGGAGAAAAGACAAGAAAAGTACTTTAGGAATATGAAAGCATTCTACTTGACAGAATTTGAGGGTGTGATTGCCATGTTTTTTTTTCTTTTTTTCTGTATAGACATGATAAATTGTCTCATGCCTGCATTCTCAGGTTACTTTATCTCTAAGACATACTAACATAGTACTACAATTAAAAGGAGGCTTTTCCCATAATCTACAGAAAAATGAAGAGATATTACTTACATAGGGTTATACAGTTGCTTAGAATCCTTAGATCCATATGTACTAATATAGGAAAATATTTGGAATCTTTAGTTCCCAACAGAAGTGGCAAAAAAAAGTTTTAAAAACAGATCAATTTCATGAGCAGAATTAAAAGTAAAAGATGATGATGTAAATAAAGTTGTTTTCTGTTACCAATTTCATATATGTCAATCTTTGGATTTTAACATTATTAAAAGATAGGACACAATGTGGGAGAAATAACTGTATCGCAAAGCTCATAGAACTCATAAATGTTATAGACCATGATAGACAATTTGCTCCAGGAAAGTTAGAATATGTTTGTGACTTTAACTGTGCATCACTATCCCACAATACTGCAAAATTTGGGACATTATGTAACCACTTAATCACAATAAAAATTTTGGAAAAAAAAGATAGGGCAGATGTCAAGGATGTTCTTCTATAAATAGAGTAGCAAATCTAAATCACACCATAAAAATGTTTCTGAAACTGAAGAAAGTATATGATCCAAATAGTTTTATTCTTTTCTAATTTTCTCCTACTATACATAGGGAAAATTCTCAAGAGTAAGTACAAATGAGATTCTTTCAATTTACTGGCAGTTGTCTGAGCTTAGCTCTGACATTGAGGTTTGTAAGGATGAAGTAGGTAAGTTAAAAGGAAAATACTATTAATTTTTAAAACTGCTTCTCTTAGCCAAAGACCAATAAAACAAAATTAAATACACTGGCAGTTTCTGTAAACTGCCAGGCATAGTAGCCCATGACTATAATCTTTGAGAGGCAAAGATAAGGATTGTCAATCCAGACAAATAAGTTTGTGAAAAATCATCTTGATCAATAAAAACTGGACATACCAGCCTATACCTATCATCCCAGCTACACAGGAAGCATAACAGGAGGATCTCAGTCCAGGCTGGTCCAAGTAATAATGCAAAATCTACATGGAAAAATAAAATGCAAAAAGGGGTGTGTGTGTGCGTGCATGCGTGTGTGCGTGTGTGTGTTAGAGTATATGTCTAGCAGCCATGTATGCTGAAGTTCAAACCCCAGTAATGCTGGGAAAAATAAAAACTTACGCTAATTTCCAAGTATTATCACTATCATTCTATTGTAAATAAAAATAAAAATCTTTCTTTTCTTTTTTTTTAAGGGTTGCAGGGCTTGAATTCAGGGTCTAAGCGCTGTTCCTGAGCTTTTTGTTCAAGGCTACCGCTCTACCACTTTGAACCACAATTCCATTTCCAAAAACCTTTCTTTTCTAAATTTAAATGTTACTGGTATCTGAACTCAGGGTCTTGTACTTACTTGCTAGGCAGGAGGTACTCTATACCACTTTAGCCATGACTCTAGCCCTTTATCAAGTTTTTTAATAAACAGTGGCTCTGTACATTTGAAAAGTTTTTGTTACGTTTCCTTCATTTGAGATAGGGAGGCAATGTTTTATCTTTTTTTTGGGGGGGGGGTCCAGTCGTAGGGCCTGAACTCTGGGCCTGGGCGCTGTCCCTCAGCTCTTCAGCTCAAGGCTAGTGCGCTACCACTTGAGCCACAGTGCCACTTCCGGCTTTTTTCTTTTTCTTACGTGGTGCTGAGGAATCAAATGCAGGGCCTTAGGCATGCAAGGCAAGTGCTCTACCACTGAGCCACCTTCCCAGCCCGGCAATATGTTTTAATAAAGAATACATTTAAAAAAAACAAATAGGTTGCACACAGGCACATTTATGTAATAAAGAATTTGAAGATGCTAAGCATAATGGTGCACAGAATTTCAAGGCCAACCTGGACTACAAAGCAAGACTTTTAAGTCTCTTCTACTCCCACCCCCCCAAAAAAAATGGGGTCTGATAGCAGTTGCTCAAGCCTATCCCTAGCTACTCAGAAGGCTGAAAAGCTGGAAGCCAGTTCCAGCACAGAAATCTCCAAGTCTAGATTCAACCAACAAAATGCCAGACTCAAGGCATGGTTCAAAGTGCTGGAGCAGTAGCTGTGACCTAGAGCAAGAGTGGGAAGACCTGAGTTCAAACTCTAGTACCAAAAAGAGAAAAAAAATGGAGGTAAAACCATAAAACAACAAAATTAAATACTAAAACATCACTGACAGTAAAACAGTTTCCTCTTGATTGATGTGTGTGAGTGTATATAATATATATAGATGTAGATATAGAGATATATTCCCCCTCTCCCCACTGGGAGGCTGGTCCCGGGGGCTTGAACTCAGGGCCTGTCATTGAGCTTCTTTTGCTCAAGGCTAGTGCTCTGCCACTTGAGCCACAGCTTCACTTCCAGCTTTTTTTGGTAGTTTAGTGGAAGTAAGAGTCTCACAAGACTTTTCTGCCCAGGTTGGCTTTGACTTTAATCCTCAGATCTCAGGCTCCTGAGTAGCTAGGATTACAGGCATGAGCTACCAGCGCCCAGCTTCTTGATGTAATTGTTTAAAGCTGTCTGAAATTATGCATATTCTGTTTGTAAGAATTTCCTCCCTCCAATGAGATATACTCTAAATATTTTTCCCCATTTGTGTGTGTGTGTGTGTTTATGTAAGATGTGCTCTTGTTATATACCCTACGATGGCCTGGAACTTGCTATGTAGTATGCTATGTAGTTTAACCTGAAACTCAAAAATCAACTGCCTGGGGGCTGGCTCAGTGGTAGAGTGCTTGCCTTGCATGCATGAGGCCCTGGGTTTGATTCCTCAGCACCACATAAGCAAAAAGAAAAAATCTGAAAGTGGCACTGTGTCTCAAGTGGTAGAGCGCTAGCCTTGAGCTGAAGAGCTGAGGGACAGCACCCAGGCCCAGATTTCAGGCCCCACGACTGGACCCCCCCCCAAAAAAAAAAATCAACTGCCTCTGCTTTAGGAGCACTGAGATTACAGGATCTCACCCAAATGCTAGCTATTCAATATGTTTTTGCTGAGATTTTGTGAAAGAAGTACTTTTAACTGACAAACTTCATTAGGATTATAGAAAATAAAAATCAACAACGGCAAAAAAAATTCCTCTGGTAAGAGCCTTACAGAAAAGCCATTTAATTTTAAAAATAAAAATAGGATACAGGTACCTAAATAATATGCCAAATAATTATGTTACCAAAACAAAAATATGTATCTAAGTAGCCAGGTGCTGGTGGCTCATACCTATAAGCCTAGCTACTCAGGAGGCTGAGATCTGAGGATCGCAGTTCAAAGCCAGCCCAGGCAGGAAAGTCAGTGAGACTCTTATCTCCAATAAACAACTCAGAAAACCAGAAGTAGTGCTGTGGCTCAAGTGGTAGAGTGCTGGCCTTGAGCTAAAGAGCTGAGGGACAGAGCCCAGGCCCAGAGTTCAAACCCCATGACCGACAAAAAAAAAAAATTTATCTAAGTAATGTGCAGTACTTTATAAAGCCTTACACTGCTGATTTAAAAACAGATAATTTTTGGTTACTCTTACCTCACCCAGGAGGATAGTTACCTAAATGCATCCTACTCATTATACTTCTACCGTAGCACTGCTATAATGGGGCAAAAGATGGAAATTCAAATGTAGGGGAAAAAATACAAAACAGGAATGACTATGATTACCTCTTTTTCAAGATATGACAGTACTGATTCTGTCTCATTCAGTAGAGCAACACTGCATTTTCCCCTGTTGAAAGAGAAAAAATATGAATAAATGTAAGTTATCACATCACTTACCATCACAGCAATCACTGCATGTGAGAACCTAAAAATAATACACATTTATTTCAGGATGTAATTACTACTATTTATTAAAACTGCTCTAAAGTCTACCTAAAATTTAAAAACAAGGAACTTCTATAGAAGAAGAGGTAATTTAAAGGCCTACAAATTCATGGACTTGAGATCTGGTAGCACTTACCTTTGGTCATATCTTTGAGTTTGATTTTAGATATCTATTTCTATTTACAAAATCTATTTCTAAAAACATTTGTTTAGAGAAAACTAAGGTAGAAATGCTTATTACCAGCACTTTTAGACTTAACTCTTGCCAACTTGAAAATTACACTAGAGTTCCAAATTGGGCGGGAGAATCTTGATTATTCAAATTATAAGTATTAGAGGGTGCTTACAAAATATAAAATATAAAATACCATTTCTCTAAACAGATCACAAAACAGCAAAAGGCAAACAGGCAAAAATAAATGCCTCATATATATATATATATATATATATACACACACACACACATATATATATACTTATATAAATATGCTTATATATATATATAAAGTAGTAAATGAGAAGAGCATGTTCTTTGATTACAAACTACAACTCAAAGAAAAAAAATAACTGAAAGCAAAATAAAATAGTAAAATTAAAAAGCTAACACACTGATCAAAAGTTACAACTTTTGGCCAGGTGCCAGTGGCTCACACCTTTAATCCTAGTTCCTTGGGATGATAAGATCTGAGCATCCAGGTTCAAAGCCAGCCTGGACAGAAAAGCCCATGAGACTCTTATTTCCAATAAACCATCAGAAAACCAGAAGTGGCACTGTGGCTCAAGTGGTAGAGCATTAGCTTTGAGCTGAAGAGCTGAGGAACATCACCTACACCTGGAGTTCAAGCCCCACAACCAACAACAAAAAAAACTACAACTTTTGGCTAGGTGCAGGTGCCTCACAAACTTGTAATCCTACTACAATCTGAGAATGGTAGTTCAAAGCCAGCACAGGGGTTGGGGATTTAGCTCAGTGTTAGAGTACTTGCCTAGAAAGTGCAAGGCCCTGAGTTCAGTCCTCAACTCTGAAAAAAAAGAAAAGAAGAAAAAAGAAAGGAAAGAAAAGCTAAACAGCTAGTCCATGGTACACTTATTTATCTCCAATTAACCACCATAAAAGCTAGAAATGAAGCTGTGGTTCAAATGATATAATGCCAGCCTTGAGCAAAAAAAAAAAAAAAAAAACAAAAAAACCCTAAGGTATAGTGCCCAGATGCTGAGCCCCAGTATTGGCACCCAAAAGAAGAAATTACTATTTTCTAAACAGTGTATAACTCTTTTTTTTCTTTTTCCTCTTCTTTTCAAGTGGTATTGGGGTTTGAATGTTGAGCCTCACATTTTTTAGTTAGATGCTCTACCATTTAAGCTATGCCCTAGCCCTGCAACTTTATATTCTCTACATTTAAGAAACTTGCTCTGATGAAAACATTATCCTTGGTACTCATTTTAGGCTAATGCTACTTACGAAGACTTCTCTGAAAGCATATAGTATTTCCACATTATCCTGTCAAATCTCTGATTTGCCTTGATGGAAGAGTTTTTATATATATTGTACTCAGGCATACTACTGAAGCAAAAAAAAATAACATTAGGAATCAGCACAGATAACTATACTGCAAGTCAGCAAGCATATCCACAGCTCTCACAGAAGTTTCCATGTGCTTATACCTAGCTCACTGAAGTAACACAAACAGGAGGAAGGGGGGAGGGGGAAGGAGACAGGAACAGAAGGAAGGGGAAAGGAAGGGAAAAGAGGGAGGAGAAAAAGTATGGGAAGAATATTCACATGCTCATAAATCATAAAGATTGGTTAAGGGGCTGGGAAGGTGGCTTGCCTTGCATGCCTGAGGCCCTGGGTTCGATTCCTCAGCACCACATAAGCAAAAAGAAAAAAGCCGGAAGTGGCACTATGACTCAAGTGGTAGAGCACTAGCCTTGAGCTGAACAGCTGAGGGACAGCGCCCAGGCCCAGAGTTCAGGCCCCACGACTGGACCCAAAAAATAAATAAATAAATAAAGGTTGGTTAAGCTAAATAAACATTATGCAAATGCTGGAAATACAAGGGAAAATAAGCAAAAGAAGTGAAATGTCTAAAATTTGAAAAATTAATAGCAATTGGAATAGGATGTAAGCTGGCAGAGTGATTACACATGGGAAGACTGTTGTCCAAAGCCAGCCCTGAGCAAAAATCATGAGACCCTATCCAAAACATAAAGCAAAAAAGGGCTACAGATATGGCCTGAGCAAAGCATCATCCTTGGGTAACAACCAGTGTTCTACATTATGAGATTGGCAAGCACAGTTTCCTTGAGGACAAATAAGTAACTAAAGAATATAATGTATTATTTAAATTTTAATTATATTACTTACTAATTATTTTTAATTATGTTATTTAAATACAATTATTAAAACATAATTTTAATTATAACATTGAAATTTCCTGCTATATAACTAATACAAGCCAGGTGCTGGTGACTCATGCCTATAAGCCTAGCTACTCAGGAGGCTGAGATCTGAAGATCGCTGTTCGAAGCCAGCAGGCATCATGAGACTCTTACAAGACCCCAAGTAACCACTCAAAAACCAGAAGTGGCCCTGTGGCTCAAGTGGTAGATTGCCAGCCTTGAGCAAAAGAAAAGGCTTAGGGACAGCACCCAGGCCCTGAGTTCAAACCCAGGACCAGACATCAAAAACAAACAAAAAAGAAGAATATGATCTTATAAATCTTTAGATCATAAAATGAGAACAAAGAACAGAAAACATCTGCAGCTTTTTAAACATTTTCATTCAGATTTATTTTCTGTTGTTAGACCACTTGAACAGATGTTAACAAATAAAAATTAAAAGAAGACAATTTCGGAAATGGTGCTGTGGCTTAAGTGGTAGGGCACTGGCCTTGAGCTGAAGAGCTGAGGGATAGCACCCAGGCCCAGAATTCAAGCCCCACGACTGACAAAAAAAAAAGAAGACAATTTCAACATTTGTTTGGGTAGGTAAAGGGATGAAAAGCCAAGACGGGAAGTTTGCAGTTTCAATGTATTTCATGAAGAAAAAGGAATAGTAAGCAGTGTGGGGAAGTTCATTTTGCCCATAAGTGGGGACAATACTGACTTGGTAACAAACTGTCAAAGAGCAATCAAATGGAAGGCCCACCTCTTGACCCCACCTTTCCTTTTTATAGGAGAAAGAGAAATGTTCCTAAGAGGGTAGCAGATGTGGAGAAGATTCTCTTCTCCAGGTCAGGATAACACATACATTGTTTTGACAGCATGAAAATTTCAGACAGCCCCCACAGCATGTAAAATACCAAGACTGGGGCAATACATGGGATACCTGTATTCCTTTCTATTGTGATACAGATGGACAAATACTTCCGTCCAAAAGGGGGGAAATGGTCATTTCAATGAAAATGTTATTTCGCATAAACTCAACCTTCAAAAAAAAGCAGGCTAAGCCTGAGGAGGTTGAGATCTGAGGATCACAATTCATTTTGAAGCCAGCCTGGGCAAAAAGGTTCACTAGATTCCATCCCCCAAAAACAGGGCTGGAGGCATTGTTTCAAGTGGAAGAGTACCAGCAGAGCAAGCAGAAGGCCCTGAGTTCAAGCCCTAGAACAGTAAAAGAATAAAAATTTTAAACTGTGGTAATAGGGACTGTGGATGTAACCTGCGTAGCGCTTGAAGCCTGGGATTGGATTATCACAGGGAGAGAGAGGAACAAGGGGAGGATAGTTCTCCTTCTGCTAACAATCCCAAGAAACTAATAAGCACAAAAAAGTAACTTCCTCCTTTTAAATTCCTTTCCTAAGTAGCATGACTTATAGTCATCAGTAGTATCTTTTTAGCTAAAATAAATTATACTTGTAGCTTACCAGGAAACTTGCAAAAATCTAACTTCTTAAAATAAAAATATTGACATAATAAAATGAACAAGTAGGCAATTAACTTCATTAGAAGACTTAAAAAAAACTTTTAACATTACCAGTCAAACAAGAGACTGATAATCTGCATTAGAGTTATATTTTATTACTTAAATGAGGACAGATATTCCAAGTATGAGAGACTTAATTAGGCTTGCTTACAATCATACATGTTAAATAACTTGCTACTCCTCTAGTTATTTGCTTCCCTGAAGCTGGGGATCAAATCCAATGCCTTTTCCTTCAGAGACTAATACATTACCATCAAACTACTTCCCCCGCCACTTGTTTGATGGTGAATAAGAAGAGGGACAGTCTTCTCAAAAGAAAGACCCCAGGTGACTTCTGGCATAGCTGCCTAGGCCAGAAAGGTACTCAGAAACCACTGCAGCCATAGCTCAAGTAGATCAAGGTACAGCATCAACTAGCAGAACAGATACTAGAGCTTCTGGGTTATATGTTTGTTTTGATTTTTTTTTTTTGGGTCCGGTTGTGGGGCCTGAACTCTGGGCCTGGGCGTTGTCCCTCAGCTCTTCAGCTCAAGGCTAGCGCTCTACCACTTGAGCCACAGCGCCACTTCCGGCTTTTTTCTTTTTGTTTATGTAGTGCTAAGGAATCGAACCCAGGGCCTCATGCAAGGCAAGAGCTCTACCACTGAGCCACCTTCCTAGCCCCTATATGTTTGTTTTGAGGGGCAATACTAGGGTTGAACTCAAGAACTTATACTTGTTAGGCAGATGCTATACCACACCTTCACACACACACCCTTTTTTTTGCTGTTTTGCTTTTTGTTTTTGGCCTGGAGCAGCATGGACCACAATCCTCCTACTTACATATCCCATGTGATTAGGATTATATACTTCCACAGGCAGCTTTTCTGTTGAGATGGGGTGTTGCGAACTTCCTGCCTGGGCTGGCCTGAAACCGTGGTACTCCCAATCTCTACCATACAAGCAGTAGGATTACAGGTGCAAGCCCACCTGCC